ACATCAGCTCTCTCTCTCTCTCTCTCTCTCTCTCTCTCTCTCTACCCCCCCATCAAATAAAAAAAGTAAAAAAGAAGAAAAAAACTTAGTTATTGTTGGGCTTCATTACCTTAGCAGCTCCAGTGCTGCTGGGAATGATGTTGAAGCCAGCGGCTCTGCCACCTCTCCAGTCCTTACTTGAGGGACCATCCACTGTCTTCTGGGTGGCTGTAAAAATTGCACAATAATAGATAAGAAAAGCCAAGAATTATATCCAAAAGGCTGGTGAAAGACATCACGAGAGACTAAATAAACAAAGAATTTGAGAACAAATCAACGGAAGAATTACAAACCGGTAATAGAGTGGACAGTGGTCATAAGACCCTCAACTATGCCAAATCTGTCATTAATGACCTGCCAATTCCATAGAAATACAAATCAGCATTCCATGTCAGCATGTTAGTATGGCTGCAATAATAGATCTGAGGGCTACAACTCCACTGCACAATTTCTATGATATCTTAACACCATAACATAAAATAACCCAGCTGCCCAGTTCTCATCATTTCTGGTGCAGCTATCACACAATGATATAAGCCCAAGTAAATTCTAAGAAACAAATGACAACAAGAAAGTACCTTGGCCAGAGGTGCCAAACAATTGGTGGTACAGCTAGCATTGGAAACAATATGAACGTCAGGCTTGTACTCGTGCTCATTCACACCCACAACAAACATGGGGGCATCTTTGCTTGGAGCTGAAATAACCACCTTCTTAGCCCCCCCCTGAATATTCAGAGACCACCCATCTGTTAGAGATCTCATATTCAAAGATACGCAAACAATGATTAAAATAATTCAGAGCAGGCTGACATATCCAAGTCACAATGGTTTGGCAAATTTGGCAATTAACCAGAAGATTATGAGCAAATATGTTCATAATGTTTTCTACATCTAGGGAAGTGCCAACCGATTACCTACTCTCACAGTTTTGAATGTTCCAAAATGAATAACTAGCATAAAATAGCTAACAGAATGATCTTATGTTTCAGTTTTGTTAAGCTTCCAAAGTAATAACTGTTAACCATCAGTTTTTATTTTCTAAGCTCCTAACACAAACATTTTTTTTTTAAGAGAAAGAGAGAGAGAGAGAAAGAGACCTTGAGATGGGCAGCTGCCTTGTCCTTGTCAGTGAAGACTCCAGTAGATTCAACAACATACTCTGCTCCAGCTTCACCCCATGCGATCTCTTCAGGGTTTCTTCAATCCCAACAAAGATCACAAGAGGCAAATATTATGAAATCCAAATCTCAAAAGAAAAACAGCACATAAATGCAAATAAAAATAAAACACTAACGCCAATGGAATAAAATGTTGAACCTTTCAAAGGTACCAGGTTGAGGATGGATTTTTACCTGTTGCCAAAAACTGTTACTGGCTTTTCCCCAAAGAGAAGGGTCTTCGAGTCTTTCAGCTTAAGATCATGGTGCTTCCATTGACCATGTACACTGTCATACTTGAACATGTAGATCTGCCAAAACAAAAAATAGTATATATTCAGAATACAAGTGTCTAATATGGAGCATAATTTACTAATAAGTTTTTTTTGACAAAGCGAAAATACAAATTCATATAAAATTTACAAAATTCTCACGAGATGTGAGTGCTGGCATCCCAGAAGTTGGGAGCTCTTACAAAAAGACGATAACATAAAACAAAGGGTTGTGCAGATAGAAGTCAGATTTTCAAGAACAAGGAGAAGGTAAATAGGAGAAAAGAGGAGACAAAGTTCTTCATTACTGTGTCCGTGTTGAATCTGCTGATAAGTTGTTGAAATGAGAGAGAGAGAGAGAGGAGGAGAGAGAGAGAGAGAGAGAGAGAGAGAGAGACGAGAGACTACTAGTACGTACGACGAGGCGTAGTAGTAAGGAAGGTATACTAGTACGACGACGAACAACGAACGTACTAACTAATACTACTACTTCTTACGTACGAAC